TGGGGACACGTACACTGAGAGACATTTGGTTAAAAGACAAATATACGAACGGATATTCTACCTACCGTGATTTTTACAAATATGTCGGGATGGTTTCAAATTACAAAATCAACATGACAGCGCAGTCAGCAACTCTGCTATCAACTCCACTTTCCATCTGTGAATATGCAAACACAGTGACCTGGCAACCTAGTCAGTGGGATTAATCCGGATTGTTGTAATCCATACCTGAAGGACAGTAAATCGCCAGCTCGAATCCCGACCATATCATTCACCTTTCTATCTAGTGATGAGTTCAGGTAGTGGGATCCTCACTTTAAAATATCTGAATATAACTGTACTATGACTCGATGTCAGTTCAATGTCTTTCTATGATTTCGCCGGTACACCTCCAGAGTGACTCAAACTATGCAGATTGTTTGAACAACACCATTAGAACACGAAAACTGGTAGATGCAAGCATTTCGTATTGACTCATCAGTACCAAGTTTACAACCCAAAAGTTGCCTATGCCTTCAATCACAAGAGATCAACCTGTCAGTGCCACCTCACACTGTATCTATGCCGATTGTGTTAGCGCAGTGCGACAGGGAGTAAAACATTACACTGCACAAGGGGTTAGACTACCAGGCCATCCAACTGAGTTACACCGGTAAACACCACTGAGTCACGATACCCGGAGTATGTTGGGACAATAGAGGCGAGGTGTAACCCCGACAAAGCACACGACCCGAGGCAGCCATCTTTTCGTGGTGTGCGCAGGGAGTTCTCCAAGTCGAATCGATTAGAATGCCAGTCAGTGTAGCTAATTCAGTGCAATATTTTCACTCCTACTTTCATCAATACCTCACTGTTACCGGTTGCGCGACAGTGAAGACGCGGCGCAATAATAGAGAAACTTCATAGGACGTCTTGGACCGGTATCCGGTCAGAGAAAAATTACATCCGTTACACGAAAATGGTGTTGAACCACCTCAGGGTGGAAAAGGTACAGAACAAATTAGCTATGGTTTTCAGCCCTGGGAATAATAATCTGAACCGTGTTTGATGATAACAGGGACACAGAAAACATTTTCCTGAAATAAGTAAAGTTTTTTGAAGCTACTGCAAAAATCGAATATTCAACTGTATAGTTTGCGTGATTTTTAATCCCTGTTGCTGGGATCAGGTATTGAGACATCCTACTTCCGGAAATTATAGTAAAAAACAGTACTGGTATACTAAGCAACCTCAATTCTATTGGGTTTCCACAAGCCTATCTTGTAGACAAAAGCATTAGTAAAACGAAACAATACAATCTGTCCCAAAACCTCAGCTTTTCAACTGGTTAGTTCGGCTCAGCTTGTCCCGTAACTGTCCTAACACGTTGCATGTTTGAACGACTTGTTTTACTCAGGTGTTCTTCATTATGCTTGTGAGTTGCATCCTGAATGATCAGTTCGCTGATGTACCGGTTTGTATACGTGGTCAGCATAGGCTATAACCTTCAGCGAACTATTGGTTGAAGTCGTATCGACAAATCCGTCTAATCCGATCTCATCACAATAAGTACACTCCCTTTGGCCATTTCTGCTGTTGAATATGACAACGTTTCAAATTTCAGTAGCTCAGTGGGAGACACAAAAAGATGATATCACACTGAGCAAGCGAAAAATTCGACTGTGTTCTCAAGTTTTTATTCTTTCTGACAATCATGTAACTTCAAGTATAAGGTTCTTGTGACCTTACGGGACTACCTCTCTCCTGTTTTCTGATCGATTTTTCGGTCAATCGCCCCACCCTTCCTTTCTGGCTGACTTTTCAAATTGATTATCTATCGCACGTACGTCATGTGAACTACATGCACAGCGTTCAACTTAGTGACCATCTGTCCCCAATGATCGTTCCATGCTTAACTCCTAACCTCATCTAGTCAAGTTTACAAAGGCACACAGACATCCGTTCGAAAGTCTGCCATAGGAACCAACATAAGATTGCTTCTAACCGAACCTCACAGAGTTCTTTGACAGTTTTGTGGTCTGGTATGATGGGCATGCGCAATTCTAAAATTTCCAATTGTTGTGCATGATTAGAATAACCACATCTTGAAAAAGTGGATAAAACAAGAAAGTACCGGAATGTACCTGAACTTTTGCGTACACACACACTGTTGACAGCTCTTATGTCAGACAATCTTCAATTTCACCTCGTCTGTTCAACGTTGGTTGGATTGGAAAATATCATTCATTTGTTGGCCAAATAGCAGACACTTTCAAAGACGTATCAACACAAACTGTCGAAGAAGTATGATTGCTGTTCATATCTCAAGAAAATGATATAATAAATACAGACCGATCGATTGCTTGTTTGTTGTTCTTGAAGGGTTTAAAAATGATGTCATTGCAATCACTTCGTTATTATTCACTTTAGTTTCTGTTCCACTTCCAGATCTTTGAACGAGTAAAATACAAAATATACATCGCAATTTATTTACCCCCGTCCCCACATAGGTTGTATTAGTCAATGCATTAACACAAGTCAACTATCTGTGAATCCAACTAGCAAGTAAGTCTCTTTGGTTCCGTCAGACACCGGTATTTATTGGTCTGTTTGTCGTTTTCAGTCTTCAAGAGATCGTAATGGTATAAAACTATTCATTACGAGCTGTATAGTACCAAATTAAATCCGGTCTTCCAGTAAAACTTCATTATGAAAAGTCGCTTGACCAAGCACCTCTCCACCGCAACTGCAAGCTGTTTTCTAACTCGTTTGATGACTAGGTTGTTTTCAATCAACACAACAACTGCGATAAATTTGCCTATGAGTTTCTCTACTTGGTCAGTCCTACAATTTCCACAGCGTTCACTAAATGCACAACCTACAGAAACACTATGGACAATCCCTTCTACCTCTGGTTTCTCGCAGCTCTGTTCACAGGAAATTAGTTCTTCCCCAACTCACATGTGTCCTCTTTGTGACAAACACAAAACACTAATTGACTGGTCAGAACGTTGTTACTTGCTTTGTTTGTTCTTCCACCTCATCGCATAGGATAATTTGCTAACTGCAACGTTATTATGTGCATCGTATAAACGCCGTGCGAAAGTTGAATATTCATTCACGCAGACTGAATGAATTAGTTTATATTACTGTTATTGTTGCTATCAAAAATTTCGAAGATGGTTGGTCACAAACTGACACAATCATTTGTTTCTCTTTTGATTAGCTCCATCAGGTAGAATATATCGGACTCGAGTTCGAGCCAGTAACCCTCGTAGTCCATGTTGTTTAGTGCTGTTTCAGTGGCTCATCATTGTCCGTTTTTCTTTGTACTAAAGGTTTAAAATAAGACAGAGCCGACTATAAATGTTTGTTTGATAACGTGAATTGTGAAGTGTTAATGGAGAAGCGCGACAACGGCGTATTTCTCTTGCTTACTCTTTAGAGGTATATACATGATTTGTGAATCACTTGACTCTTTGTTGGTTTTTACGCATGAGTCTTTTTATTAAGGGTGTTATGACATATTTTCCTTGGAGACCCCTGTAGTAACAAGTTCCTTTGTGTAATACAATAGTTATTGCATGATTAGAGGACGTGATTGTCAAAACTGACAAGGCAGCTTGGTCAGTGCCCGATTACGGAAGCGTGTTTGGTATGGAAATGACCAAACATTATCAAAGTCCTAATGGACTTTCATGTAAAGCCTACTGAAAATAACCTTAAATGAAGACCTAAATACAGTATCGTGAAATCACTTTGTATACCAACAGTAGATGGTCGGTTTTTTCATAATAACTACTTCAAATTACTAGACTTTATAGTTATGAGGTTGGTAACAGAGTATTTAGGAAGATGGATTCAACTTCCATGTTCACTTCTGTCGCAGGAGGCGTGATGTGAACATAGCAGAATGTGTACAAAACCGGTGGAGTAAAATACACAATCATTTGTTTTCTTTTTAACGTTAGCTGGAACCCCCGTAGTTTTAACATCACCCTGAGTAGCTTTTGTGTTCATAATTGCCGCCGAAAGTCAAAAAGAAAAGTAAAAGTTGTAATCTCGGAAACCCTTCGTAGTTGTGTCTAAAAGATCGCGGTTCAACACACAGCCTCAGGAAAAGTATTGCCAATTTATCCTTTCTGTTGTGAAAACTGAGCGCTTTTGTCATGACTACATCACTCATTGTGCTGTGGAAAAGAATGTGAGCAATAGAATCACTGTTCTTGAACACTGTCTAAATGTGTGAGTTTTCGAAGGTATTCAAAAGTTATCCCAAGATTTTAGTTGGTTAATCCTTCATCTTGATTCAACTTATTGAATACAAATGGCAAACCGGTTGTGGGATGTCGGAATGTGATGGCTTCCAAGAATGATCGTGAGCTAATTACGTTTTTCTTCGTAAATTCTAATTGATGCCTGCAAATGTGATCAATTCTCTGACCCTCGGTTGGACCGGAAAGTAACCAGCGGCTGCTAGGGTCGTGCAACCGAAAGGGAACTTGCTTGAACTAATCAAGACTGTTGCTTTGATTACATGCACCCTGACTCAAGTACACTCGCTTCGCTGACCCATAAAATTAGGAGAACTTCACTTGAGTGGACGCCATATGCGGTGCACTTTACACTGGTTGGGAGACAGCAACGAACATAATAAGTAAGACCGGTAAATTATGGTCAGTTCAAGTGATATTATATGGACGGTTATGTCAGAAAACTATGTTACACGAGTTATGCCATGACAGATTTCGTCGCATCTATACCAGGGCTTACTACAAGCTGATAAACCTTATCAAATTAGAACCAAATCACAAAGCGAATTACTATAGAATGTCGATCATCTGTTGGTACACAGACCCTACCATTGCCAGGACAATAGGAAGGTGAGGAACTGTTCCTGTAAAATGCACATGACGGGACCGTTCTTTTGATGGCAACCACCTCGGCACATCGAAGAAGTATCACTAATAAGTAATTCGGTAGATTTATAACTTTAAATGAGACCCAGTTGTGAAAAGTCACGGCTTCGGCTGGATTCGAACCAGCAACAGAAACACAATGCCCCCAAAGTCACAAGCGCTCTACCAGATGAGCTACGAAGCCACGCCAGGAGCTCGGAAATCTCATATTTGGACTCGGTTACCCACCCGTCTCACTGACTCATATGGAACCCACCAAATGGCCCAAGGGATCGACTGTCCCGGCAGGATTTCTCGAACAGTTCAAGCTAGAATCCATCAACGTCACTGTTGAGCGTAGGAAGTGTATTAGTAATAAGAAGAAGGTGTGGGTTGTCGGTCGTGTAGATGACCATGAACTCTTCGGCCATGTCCGATTGATGGCGCGTCAGCAACAAGTGTTGAACAGTGACTGAAGCAGGTTGATTGTAGGTTCGGCTAGTGGAGGTGGCTATCATCAAAACGGCGATCGGTTGCGTAACCTTGCGTTTGATCCAGCTCAGCATGTGTTTGTTAATTGTGGTCTGCAACTGGCGCTCGCTTCTATCAATGAAGGTGACTCCACACCCACACTGATGTTGGTAGATGACGTCAGATTTGGCGGACAAAGAAATCGGCTGTCTGAATGACGGTGTTGGGATGCAAACGGCTGTGTAAAATACAACCAACTGAACAGCCCAAAAACCCGTTTGATAACTGTCTGGAAACAGTTCTATGGTAGTAAACTTACACCGACTAATATTGGAATACACACCCTTCCGCGGGCGGTACGTTCATCAGAACTGACCAACGCTGAACGTAAGACGGTTTGTTAACTAGGTTAATGAACTTCCATTAATGTCCAACTTGCCAGGTCTTCAAGCACTCAGACACCCGTCTTATTCACATTTACCCTGATATTATCACTATCAGAGGTCACCGGCACATCGTAATCCGTGTGAATCATGTCAGTAGGTACACCGTTGCGATTGCTTTCTCTCACACAAATATAGAAAAAAACCACTTCTGGACTAACGGATCTCTCAGTGTTTTACTCTAACGACCAAAACCACAAGTGGTGACATGCAACTTCACCCCTAAGTTATTCTAAAACGTGCTCGCAGTTAACCATATACTGCGGCGCGTCATCCTACTGTACATGATGTGTGCCATCTGGAAGCTACTCTGAACGCTCAACACTGGACCGATTATTTTGTTCTAGTGATACCAAGACGTTGATAAACCGCTATGACAGGGAACGTACAAATGAAGAATCGAATGCCCCTTGTTCAAGTCCCGGCAGTGGCGATGATAAGCACTACTGACGAGCTCTAATGAGAGCGAAACTCGAGTCTAGTGCTTCTTTTCGAAATGGGTCGACTGGAAAGTCTATGGGAATGCGACAGCTGCGATCAATTGTGGGTGATGTTCAACTTGAAATAAACCAAATCCCCGACTACTCATCACTATTGTAAGTTCTCAAATTTCCATCAAAAATTTGATGGCGTTACGTTTGTTCCCTTTGCCATTATTCGCGGAAAAAGTTTTTTAGAATAAAAAACAAATGGGCGTGTTGTATCATACTTTCCGTTATCACTCATGATTTCTATTCTTTCAGCTTATACCACAAATCTAAATTTACCATATGGGATAGCAAAAATCTGGTCAGAGTAAAGCCAAAATTCCGTCTATAGACTGATATATGAGCACTTGTGAATTCCTATGGCATTTTTACAGTACATCGTGTTGACACTGCGCCAACATTACTATGATGTTACTACAAAGACGCACATTCGACCAGAGTGATATTACTAGGAATTAACTCAAGAAGTTGGGGGTGACCCTGACCAAGTGTGTATAGTATATGAAGCAGCTGATGGAGGAAAAGCGCGCAGACCTTGAACCATATGATCATGGAAAAAAACTGAAAAATAAACGAACCTGGAACAGATCAAAAAGACGACACCTCTCTGCGATTTTCTAAGCAACCCCGAACGGTGCGTCCGCAATATTGCCCCATTGCGTCTGGTTAGGAAATTACTTCAACTGTTGTTGATCCTAGCGCAAGAACAAGGAGGTATATGTGGGAGTGGAATTCGAGAACTTCCTCGATTACTTGACACTAATCGTGTTCAGCACTACTTGTTGGAAGAATGAAGTTGATACTAAATGAAGTGTGTCATCGGCAGCAATTTACTCAGTTATTCGGATTGAGCAATGTGGGTTATGTCTTTCAACCACGCCAGACGTGCTCTACTCACAAAACAACTCGCGATGGCCAACTGGTTATCGTTCCTCTTTGATCTAGGCAAACAAACCTTGTCAAAGAATAACCCACGGGACTTCTTTGAATTCGTCAATGCTATCAACTAAACTAGAACGGACAGAAAAATGCTGTTCGTCTGTGCATCATCTTTGTCTACAAACGTGCCATTAGAAGAAACGCTTTATTACATCTGTGATTATAGTGTGCCCAATAAGCTAACGATTCATGTACTTTCAAATGAGTTGAAATAACGGATATTCCTGGGATCACACATTACAGACTAAACTCAACAGAAGTACACACAAGCAAGTGGGTAGTGTAACGCTGACATCCTTTTTCAGAGCGAATTTTGTGGAAACCGTAATAACATACCTTGGAAGTGACTAGTTGGAAACAAACAGTTGTGAAAGTTATGTTTATCAGCCAGACACGGACGAGGTCTAACGAACTGTTGAGAACAGATGAATGTATTAGTTACATTAACTTTTCTAAACTCTACCCATGTTAATGTAAAAAACACAACAGAGTTTGAACTCAAAAATTAAATCTTCTTCTGTGTACTTGTCATCTATCAAAAAGGATCATTTTAACAAAGCGCTTACAAAAAAGATGCCATTAACTATAGCAAATCCATTTAAGCAGCCTCCTATAACTAGTGGGGGAAAAAAATCTATACGAGCTAAAGAACCATGTAAATATATACATGATATACTGTTTTCAAACGACTGTCAATGTTACGCAAGCTATTATAACAACTTGGCCATCCTGTGTGATTAGTAAACAAAGTCCCTAGAAGTGTCGTAAGAGGAGACGTTTCTTCATTGTTTCTAGGTGATACTGATGCTGAAATTAACTACGGAAGATTTGCGAACATTGCCTACAAAATTGTCTGTGCATCTACTGTAGCATTTCACCCACGGCTAGAAAGTAGAATGTATTCTCAAACAGTTTCATTATGCGTGTACCCATTCACTTATTCCTATAAAGCTAATTACGTGGGCCATATCTGCCAGACACTTAAAAAGATTTCCGGCGCAATTTTGGCCCAATTGGTTGACACGGATCACAAAGTCCGTGTGGATGTCGCATTCAGACCGACCTATCTTGTCATACTTGTTCACAACAGAGGTATGAATTGTCGTACTTTGGCTGCTGCGGAGGGGATCGGAGTCCGGCTGCGAAATCCTAATCTGTGTGCGCACAGGTTGTTTGCTGAAACACTGAAGTTACCATGGTCTGCCGTCGTTGAAACACTTGGCACGGTACCATAGTACCCATGTTCGTAGTCCAAAAATGACACTAGATTCACACTGTATTAGGTTCTATAAAATACTGACTTGATAACTAATTTCACATTCATTGTATTGTATTTAGCCTGTAGACTGCATATTAAAAACGAGCTTATTTTCAACGTTTTGACTTCTGATGACTTAGAAAGTAGTTGTGACTACAGGTCGCCCTAGAACAAAACTGTTGTCAGAAAGGCAATAACCGGTGTAGTTGTGAAGCATCTTGCTGATTTTTACCTTAGTGTTGACCCAACTTTCTCAGTTCTTCCGACTTACCGAATCAATGACAAATTGTAAAGTTTGAGCACATATGAAGTCAGCATAATTCGGTTGTATTGCCTACTCTTAGGTATTCCGGAAATGCTTAACTCCGGTATTGTGATTCTCACGATATAACACCCAGTTCATAGTCTATCAAACTTTTACGGTTCCAACTGTACAACAGCTGTCACACTAAAGTCTGAGTATAAAGCTAAGGTTGATGATTCTGTTAAAAAAACTCCCCAAAAATATCAGTCTGAATGCTAAAACTGCTGTCCAAACTTCGCTGATATTAGTCCCGTCGTTCAAAACTCAAAGCGTTTAGAGGTAATAAGCAAGAAGCACCCACTCGACAGAGGTTGCGTGTCGAATACTTCATCGTTCGTTGTATTGAATCCATACTCTGGAGTAACGTGTCCCTCAAAATCCACTTCAGACAACTCACTGGTGAAACATCAACAACAGATTGTCTGTCGACCAGGGTGGGCGAAATTTTTCTGTTGAACATTAAAACAAAGAAGACGGTGTTCCAACGTAGTACGTTCTGCACAGTACAGTGTAAGAAGAAAGCCCGGGCAAAGTGAATGCATTAGGTACGCTGTTTGCATACGTTCTATCATCAATACCTTAAACGAGGCATTGGTGTGGACTAACAACACTGAGCAGAAACGTCCTGGCTAAAGCGTGTAATGCTCATTCAGTGGCGTTTGTGACGGCATGGTTATGTGAACCGGATGAAATACTAGCAAGTAGCAATAAACACGCCATGCGGTGAGATGGTAGCTGTTTACAAACCCTACGGAATGTCATTCATAAGCCAGATAGATACATGCAAACGTGTTTTAAAGGTTTTGACACCAATACCACACATAGGGGAGCAGTAACGGCAGATCTCAACGGATAAAATATGAACATCAGGGCAGGTGTACTCAAACGTGATTAAAAGAATACCATGTGCCGCAGGTGGGAAGACAGCGACAACACCGATCGCCTTGAAATGATGTGCCATGGAATTAACAGAATCGCCTACAACACTTTTCAATCAGTCCTTACCAACCGCATGCTTACCGAAAGCCTGGAAACAGTTCACGGTTACATCCTTCTTTAAAGATAGGTGCAGAGGCGACCCAGCAAACTATCGACCAGTAGCGTTGCTTTCAGTGATTTCTAAAGTAACGGGGAGCTTATTGGATGACTGTCTTCAGATTAGGTTTGAAGACCTCCAACTCACCACCAAGGGAAATGCATGGCTTTCTTAGCGGGTAGTCATGCGCCACGAAACTGCTGGTTACTCGTGGTGTTTTGAAGAAAGCTGCAGACGTAAGATTGGCCATAGACACAGATTCTCTC